CTCTTGATAGATCACTAGAAAGCTTTTGAATTGGGGCTGGTTGCCAGAGGAACTAACCATGTACTTTATCTCACTTGATGTCTAACTGAAGAGGGTTGAATAACTTGAACAAGGTTGCAAAGTTAACAAATGGTAAGCCCAAAGTTAGAACCCAGATCTTTTGTTTAGTTAAAGGTCCTTTTCATTATACCATTGAAGAGGTAACTAGCAATGAAAAGCTCTAGTTGACTGCTCTTTACATTATGATTGTTTCTATTTAGGACTGCTCACTCGGCTGGGGGCAGAGCACTTGGCCTAGCATGTGAAAAGCCCTGGGTTCAACCCCGAGGACCTCCCCCTGCCCTCTCCACAGAGCTAACTGGCTATACTTAGAAGGGTTCAAAGGCAAGGAGGCAGTTCAGAAAAAGGAAGGCAAGTTAAAATAAGGGTAGATTTTATTATTACCACATGTTTATCATTTATGATCCAAATTTCCAAGGACTAGATAATGTTTTGAAATTCACAATTTTTCAAATTTTAGACTAATGAGGTTGAATGCATTACATTATATAAACCCTGACATCCCAACAAGGTTGGAGTCAGTAACTGCATAAAATTTATTATTTTGCAATAATACGTGTGAACAGACATGGTAAGTGGGACAAGCCAGAATGATTTAATCCTCAGAATGCACTTTACAATGAACTTTGAATTTTGAATTTTAAAACTGCAGGAAGGAATCATCGAAGTGTATAAGAGAGTCTGCATAGCTAAGAATCAATCAACAAGTAACTATCAAGTAATCTATAAGGAATAATATAGTAACAGATAAAGTATCAGATGTGGTTTATTCTAAGAGTTCCTTAAAGAGTACATGTTGTTGGTACCTTAAGATTAATAAAAGGTAAGCATGGTGGCAGATGCACATAATCCAAGTACTCGGGGAGGCTAAGGTAGGAGGATAGAGTTCAAGGACAGACTGGATAACTATAGCAAGACCCTGTCTCAAAATAAAAAAGGACTAAGAATGTACCTCAGTGAAAAGGTCCTGAGTTCAATCCCCAATAATACAGATAGATAAAGAGATAGATCCCTAATAATATAGACAGATAGATAGATAGACAGACAGACAGATAGATAGATAAAAATATTTAGCCAGGCACATACAGTGTTGCATGCCTGTAGTTCCAGTATTTGGGAGGCTGAAACACAAGGATTGCAATGTCGAGGTCAGCCTGGGCAAATCAGTAAGACCCTGTCTCAAAATTAACAAAACAAAACAGGGCTGAGAGATGTAGCTCAATACACCCTGGGTTCAATCCCTAGTACCACCAAAAAACTGAAGATGAAGGAGGTATGACTGATCCCAGGGTTTAGACTAAAATTTTTAAAATAAGGGAGTAGGCTGGGCGTGGTGGCGCACGCCTGTAATCCCAGCACTCGGGAGGTTGAGGCAGGCGGATCGTTGCGAGTTCGAGACCAGCCTAGGCTACAAAGTGAGCTCAAGGCCAGCTTGAACTACATAGCCAGACCTGGTCTCAAAAAGACAAAAAAAAAATAATAATAATAAATTAAAATAAGGGAGTAGGCATCACATTATAAGACTAACAAGTGATAAGTCACAATTACAACTAAGAGCAGGAAAAACTAGGAAAAAGAAACTGAAAATGAACAACTCAATTACTGACAGTAACACAGTTTTACAACCACTGTACAAGCAACACTGGTACTGATTCAATAAAAGCTGTTAATTTGCTGGGAGTGATGGTGTACACCTTTAATCCCAGCACTTGCGGGGCTGGAGCAGGACTGCTTGAGTTCAAAATCAGCATGGACAACCTAGTGAGTTTAAGGCCAGCCTGAATTACAGAGAGAGATCCTGTCTCAAAAACTAAATAAATATTTTTAAAAACTGTTAACATGTTCAATATACTTTAAGATGATGATCTAACATGTTAGTCATTTTAACAGTTATTTTTGGTGGCAAAAAAAGTATGTCTCAATTATTTGGAAAATTCACTTCTATAAAATACCTTATTTCCTAATAATGTAAACAAAGCTGAAAATAAATAATAAAATAATAAATAATAAAATAATTTAAATAATAAAAAGCTAAAAGTGTTTTTGTTTGTTTGAGACAGATTGACTCATGACCAAGTTGGATTCATCCCAGGAATGCAAGGATGGTTCAAACAAACAATGTAGTCCAGGCTGGCCTTGAACTCGTTATGTAACTGAGGATGGCCTCAAACTCATGGCAATCCTCCTGCCTAAGCCTCCCAAGTGCTGGGGTTACACGCTTATGCCACCAAGCCCAGCTTTAAAAGCTACACATGTTTAAAAGAGCTTACAGGTACCTTAATACTTTTTAAGGAATAGCAGGGCATAGGAGAAAAAGGTAGACTTGTATCCAAAAATATAAAAAGAACTCTTGAATTCAACAATAAGAAAATAAGCAACCCATTTAAACACGGGCTAAAGATCTGAACAGACCTCAGCAAAGACAGATAGACAACAGAAAAGCATATACAAATGCTCAAAATCATGTAGCATTAAGAAATGGTAAAGTAAGACAATAAAAAATGCCAGCAAATATCTATTAGAATAAATAAAATCCAAAATACTGACAATAAATACTGGCTACAGCATGGACCAACAGGAATTCTAACCTATTGCTGGTGGAAATGCAAATGTACATTCTGGCAGATAGTTTGGTAGTTTCTCATAAAATTAAACAGACTCTTATGAAACAATACAGCAACTGTATACTCTTTGGTGTTTACATTACGCGAATTGAAAACTTATGCCTACACCAAAACTTACACAAAAATGTTTATAAGTAAACAGATAAATGAACTATAGTGCACCCATACAACAGATTATTCAATGATAAAAAGGAGCCACAAAGCCATGAAAAGATGTAGAGAAATGATAATTTCGGATCGCCAAGTGAAAGAAGTCAATCTGAAAAGACTGCACACTATATAATTCCAGTTATAATATTCGGGAAAGGCAACACCAAGAAAATCAGTGTTTGCCAAGGATTCAAGGAATGGAATGGCAAGAAGAACGGGTGGAACACGGAATTTTTAGGAGCAGTTTACTCTGATGATACTGTAAGGGTAGAATATATCACTATTGTACATTTGTCAAAACCCAATCTATAAAATGAGTACAGACTTTAGTTAAAAATTATGTATCAATACTAGTTCATTAATTTTAACAAATATATTATGCTAATGAGAGATATTACCAATAGATTAATTATGTGAGTGGTGGAAGGGATAAAGAAACATATGGGACAGGCAGGGTCGGGCACGCCTGTAATACCAGCACTTGGGAGGCTGAGGCAGGATGATTGCTGCAAGTTTGAGCCAACCTGACCTACAGAGTAAATAATGAATTCTAGGTCAGCCTGAACTACATAGCAAGACCCTATCTCAAAAAAAAAAAAGAAAAGAAACATGGGACCTCCTGCACTTCTTCAATTTTTCTGTAAACCCAAAACTGCTCTTAAAAATAGTCCGTATGTAAAAAAACCACAAAGAGAAACAAAAACAGAACCACATGACAAGAAGACATTTGATGGCTTTAGGAGGTTTTTATAAAGTAAACTGAAGAACACTTGCATCAGAAACATTTACGCAAAAATCACAATTTTTTAGGCAGAAAATTAAGAACAACCCATGCCAGTTATATCAGACCATGCCTGATCAATGGAGAATTATAAAACAGACCTGACAGTTTCTCTGCAAAGATTCTGATTAGACAAAAATCAAAAATATAATGCAAAACACAATTTATAGATATTTATTCACAAAAGTTCAGTACAATATCATGCTGCAAATTAAAGCAGATCTATATGGAATAGCCCTAATTCACATGGAAACACATGGTTAGGGTACACTAAGAAACATTTGTTCATGCAATAACCTATTTTCTAAAAATATTACCTGGTGCTTTTTAAAAATGATTGAGATGGTGGTGCATGCCTGCAATCCCAGCACTTGGGAGGCTGAGACAGGAGGATCACCAAGAGTTTAAGGCCAGCCTGGGCTACAAAGTAAGTTCAAGGCCAGCCTGAACTGCATAGTGAAACCTGGTCTCAAAGAGACAAAAAAAAAAAAAAAAAAAGATTGTACCTGTGTACATAGCATGCTAGCAGAGTGGATTCTTTGCTGGTATTTCCCTTAAGATATCATTTGATCTACAAGTATATTTTAAAACAGAAACCTTTTATAAACACAGGAAGGATACCTCAGCTCACCACAGGCTCCATCCATACTGGTACTACCTGAATGATCTCAGTACGCATTTCAATGTGTAACTCCTAAAGTATTCTATTCTTGGAAACAGCATGCTCTAAAGATTAAATAACTTTTATGAGGAGTTTATAAGAGCCACTAGTCTTTAAAAGCTACTTCAGCTGGGGCCCAGTGACCCATGCCTGTAATCCCAGCTGCCCGGAGGCTGAGGATTTCAAGTTAGAGGCTAGCTTGGGCAACTTAATCAGAACCTATTCAAAAAATAAAAATGACTGGCAATGAAGCTCAGGGGTAGAGTACTTTGCTAGCATCTGTGAGGCCCTGGGTTCAATCTCCAGTACAAAACACACACACACACACACACACACACACACACAATACAGTACTCAAAGCTTCAAATATAGCCTTTCCAACATGGGATGGGTTCTGCAAACCACCTGTCAGCCACTCAAAGCAAACAAAAGACTGACTAACAGGCTTACTACAGGGACTATTATTAATTATTCATTCAACAAATATTTACTGAGGACTTCCTTTGTGTTAGTGCTGAGAGAATACAACCTAGAACAAACTATTAAAATATTTCTGCCCTCATGGTGATTATATTTTTATGTTTATATGGTCACCAGACCACTTCCACTAGGCCAAGCATTCTGATCACTGAATATGTAGTAAGGGTAAACTAAGGATCAGGTTTATTTACAAAATTAATTTACACACACTTCAAGACTGCTACATATAATTATTTGTTCTTACCTGGTCCTGTGTTGATAATAACGTAAATAGAGTTTCCAATGCTGCTCTTCGAACTGATGATATAGTGTGATGCAAAAAAGGCCAGACACGTGGAACTAAAACTGTAAGTGACTGCTGAATACTAATAAAGGAGACACAAATTAATCTTACTCATTCTTAGTTAAAATTCGGTAGATACAATATCTAAATATTATTCTCATGTGGACTAGATGTTGACATCAAGTGTCTTTCTGATGAATAAATGATGATCTTCTTTTCACATGAACCTTCACTTAAGTTGAAAATGTTATTCAAAAATATTATTATAGCACCAATAGAGGCAGGGAAAATACAGCCATAAAAAAGGCAAAAATTTAGCATTAGGTTTTTCTACTATATTAATGCTACAAATAAACTTTATGAATTTAAAAATTTCCAACATAACTGCACTTGCAACTACTTTTACTCAGGAATATGAGACATGTATCCTAGTCAAACAATCAGGTTTGCCAGTCCTTACTCCATTCCATGGCTAACCCCAATGTACATAATTTCCATCCCCCTTTAAGGTCATCTCTGCTACACACCAAATGAGCAAGACATGATATAGGAGTAACCTGGATATTTGTTATCTTGGCTTAACATTACTAAGTTAGGGAAACTCAATTTTTTTTTCTTCTAATGGTAGAAGCAGGTAAAGCCAGGTCTAGACTAACTTGAGCCATGGTATACCTGCCATATTCGTAAGTCATCTATAAAAGTTACTTAGACTTCATTAGACACATTGAAATATATACCCCCACAGAAAAAGGCATGAACAAAAAAGAATATGCCAGTGCTATTTATCTGTTCATCTTTCGTGTTTCCTCTCAGGAGATCTACCTTTTAACATTATTTACAACTTTGTACTTATTTAAACATTTAGTTAAGTTCACTTGTAAAATTCTATTTAAACACATGCACAGACAGACATAAGAGATTCAGAATACAAGAAAGCATTATAACAAGGTCTTGTTAATAGTTAACTGTTCATGCTCAAATGACATGCTACATTTCTTCTTATATAAGCTGGAAAGTATCTGCCAAAATATATAACATATGAAGCAAATTTTCAAATAAGGTAATTTTAAAACAAACAAAAATGATGGAAAACTACATTATTTCACATCATATTACCAGAATGTTCAGTATATAATTTTCCTTGTCTTCTATTATTTAATTTTTCTGACACCATCCACAACCACAGGTAAAATCTACTCTTTTTTTTTTTTTTAATTTTTCCAGAACACAAGTATGTTCACTCCCTTATGTATTGTATATGGCTGCTTTCCTGCTATCCTGGTAGAATGGAGTAGTTTCAATAAAGACTGGCTCATGAATCAGAAATATTCAATAGTTGGGCCTTCACAAAAAATACTGACCAACCTCTGGTTAGTAATTAAAACCCTTGCATTTTCAGCTTAAAAAGAAATTTCACTCAAATAAACTCAAATTAATTCCTACAACAACTTCTATGAGTAATGGAAGCATACAAAAAGTAGGAAATCCTAAATATTTACTTCCCCATTCTATACCTTTTACAAGCACCTATTTTGTTATTCCTACTTAAGTGTTATCCTAATAGTTTAAATTTAGCATTAAAGCAGTAGCATTAAGCAGGATTATTTGAAACATTTGTTTCATGTTTTTCATATTTTCTGTGGCTTTCACCAGCCAGAAATCATTTTTAACTAATAATCACATGAACATTCACTAGACTAAAAACATTAACTAACTTTCTTATCTGTGGATTTTTTAAAGTTCCATAATAATGTTTCTTCTGCTAATAGAAGTAATAACATTCAGGAGCTAGTCTTAAAAGATAGGGAACACACTAAGCTTCATGTGAATTATCAAAATAGGCAAGCCAGTAATAGTTTAGGGTTTTGGTATTGTTTTTGGCTTCACCCACTCTCTGCTTTTGAGCATTATTTTACATTATTATGTATTCCCTTTCTGTTCAGTAATTACTAAAATCAAGAGCAAAAACTGAAGAAATGAACATTACAAAGAATTCACAGAGGGGCAAGTTTTTAGAAATATAAATCTGATGTTCAATTATAACCTATTAAGAAAATGTCATTAAATACAGCTAAAAGTCTACATTCTGGGGCCAAAGCCAGAAATAATATGCAGTGATTTTTATTCAAGAATAATGACTGAAATGGTTTATTCTATCTTAGTTGTTGCACCAACAGTTTCATATGTAAGTATCATTTTTAAATGTCTATAAATATATATCTTGAAAGAAATACAGTATATAGAAATTTTAAGTGGTTATCTCTTAGTTCTAAGAACATTAATAAATTTCCCTTTTAAGAAATGCTTGCCTGGTGTGGTGGTACACTCCTGTAATCCCAGCACTTGGGAGGCTGAGGCAGGAGGGTCACTAACAGTTTAAGGCCAGAGTTCAAGGCCAGCTTGAACTACACAGTGAGACCCTGTCTTAAAAAAAAAAAAAACACAGAACACAAA